TTCAGAACACCAAATATATTAAACCAGAAAGTCCACTCAGAACATAATAATCAAAACACTAAATGTACAGAAGAAAGAATATTAAAAGCTGCAAGGGAAAAAGACTAAGTAATATATAAAGGGAGACAGAATAGCACCTGATTTCTCAATGGACACTCTAAAAGCCAGAAGGGCCTGAACAGATGTCTATAGACTCTAAAAAATGACAGATGCCAGCCCAGACTACTATACCCAGCAAAACTTTCATTCAAAATTGCTAAAGGAAATAAGATTTCCATGATAAAACCAAATTTAAGCAGTATCTATCTACAAATTCAGCCATGCAGAAGGCTCCAAAAGGAAAACTCTAGCCTAAAGATATTAACTACACCCAAGAAAACATAAGGAATAAATAATTCCAGACAACCAAATCACAAGAAGGGAAACACACACACACACACACACACACACACACACACACACTCAAAATCATCACCAGAACCACCACAGCAAATAATAGGAATCAACAAACACTGCTCATATAGACATCAATGGTCTCAATTTCTCCAATAAAAAGGCTCAAACTAAAAGGATGGATTTGAACAGGATCCATCTTTCTGCTATGTCAAGGATACAAGGATCCATATCTTCAAATCAAGGATGAAGATATGGGTAAACAGATGGAAAAGAATATTCCAAACAAATGGATCCATGAAGCAAGCTGGCATAACTATTTTAATATCTGACAAAATAGACTTCAAACCAAAACTAATCAAAAGAGACAAGGAAGAACATTAGGTATTTATCAAAGAAAAAAATCCAGCAAGAAGACATTGCAATTCTTAACATCTATGCATCAAACACAAGGCACCCAAGCTCATAAAAGAAACACTACGGCAGCTTAAATCACATATTGACCCTCACACTCTGATAGCAGGAGACTTTAGTACCCCGCTCTTACCAATAGACAGGTCATCCAGACAAAAACTAAACAGAGAAACTAACAGTTGTCAAAAAACAAAATGGACCAAATATTTACAGATTATTTAATCTAAACATAAAACAATATACCTTGTTCCGTGTACCTCATGGAACTTTTCCCAAAATTGACTACATACTCAGAACCAAAGGAAATCTAAAAGATACAAGAAAATGGAAATAACACCTTACATTTTATCTGACCACTACAGATTAAAGCTGTATAACAACAGCAGAAAGTTTACAAACTCATACAAAATAGATCAAGAAAGACATTAAAGACTTTATAGAATTGAATGAAAATGAATATACAACATACCCAAACATATGGGAGAAAATGAAGGAGGTTCTAAAAAGGAAGTTCATAGCACTAAGTGCTTACACTTATTGATGTGTATGTTGAACCACCCTGCATTTCTGGGATGAAGTCTATTTGATCATGGCAGACGATCTTTTCTTTATGTGTTCTTGGATAATGTTTGCAAGTACTTTATTGAGAATTTTTGCATGTATGTTTATAAAGGAAATGTTCTGTAATTCTTTCTTTATTAGGCCTTTATGTGGTTTGGTGTCAGGGTAACTGTGGCCTCATAAAATGAACTGAACAATGTCCCTTCTGTTTTCATTTTGTGGAATAATTTGAGGAGTATAGGCATCAACTCTTCTTTAAAAGTCTTGTATAGTTCTGTGCTAAAACCATCTGGCCATGGGCTTTTGTTACTTGGGATACTTTTAATTATTGCTTCTATTTTGTTAGGGGTTATAGGTTTGTTTAAATTGCTTATCTGATGTTAATTTAACTTTGGCAAGAAAGAATTACACATTAATAAATGTAATCCACCATATTAAAAAGAAAACCTAAAAGACGAAAACCACATGATCATTTCATTAGATGCTCAAAAGACCTTTGACAGACTCCAACACACCTTTGTGATAAATGAAGGGATTAGGGATACAAGGAACACACCCCAACATAATAAAGGTAGTTTACTGCAAACCCATAGGCAACATCAACTTAAATGGAGAGAAACTCAAAGCAATTCCACTAAAATCCAGGAACAAGTCAAGGCTGTCCATTCTTTATATATCTATTCAATACATATCTATTCAATATTGTCCTTGATATCTTTCTTAGCTAGAGCAAGAAGGCAACCAAAGTAGATCATGGGGCTACAAATTGGAAAGGAAAAATTCAAAGTATCTTTATTTGCAGATGAAATGATAGCATACATAAGAGAACCTAAGAGTTCCAATGAGAAACTCCTATAGCTGATAAATAATTTTAGCAAAGTAACTGGATACAAAATACATTAACAAAAATTGGTAGCTCTCCTCTCCTATATACAAATAATACATGGACTGAGAAAGAGATCTTGGAAATAGCACCTTTCACAATAGCCTCAAATAATATCAAATATCTTGGGGTACTTCTACCAAGCAAGTAAAGACTTGTATGCTAAAACTTTAATACATTAAAAAGAAAAAGAGACACAGAGAGAAACTGAAAAGAATGTCAGAAGATGGAGAGATCTCTCATGATTATGGGGAAAATGGCCATCCCACCAAAAACAGTCTACAGATTTGGTGCATTCCCCATCAACAATCCAACACAATTCGTCACAGATTTTAAAACGACAATTTTCACCTTCATATGGAAATACGACAAACTCAGGATCACTAAAACATTTTTGAATAATAAAAGAACTGCTGGAGGTATCACCATCCCTGATTTCAAGTTGTCCTTGAGAGCTATAGTAATAAAAGTGGCATGGCACTGGAACAAAAACAGAAATGTTGATCAAATTGAAGACTCAGACATAAATCCATACATCTATGTATACCTAAGCTTTGATTTAAAAAAAGCCAGAAATATATACTGGAAAAAAAAGAACAACATGGTGCTATTCAACAAATGGTGCTATTCAAACTTGATGTTGGCATGTAGAAGAATCCAAGTAGATCCATGCTTATCACCCTGCACAAAATTCAATTCCAAGTGGATCAAAGACCCTAACATAAAACCAGATACACTGAACCTGACAGAAGAGAAAGTGTGGGAATAGCCTTCAACTCATTGGCACAGAAAAAGACTTCCTGAACATAACACTATTATTAGCACAGGCACTAAGATCAACAATTAATAAATGGAACCTCATGAAACTGAGAAGCTTCTGCACAGCAAAGGATACTGTCATTCAGACAAGGTGGCAGCCTACAGATAGGAAAAGATTTTTACAAACTACATGTCTGATACAGGGCTACTAGTTATATATATATAAAACTAGATATCAAGAAAACAAATAACCCAATTGAAAAGTGGGGTACAGATCTAAACAGAATTCTCAAAAGGAGGAAACTTGAAGACTGTGAAACAGTTAAAGAAATGTTCAACATCATCCTTAGCTACCAGGGAAATACAAATCAAAACAACTTTGAGAATTCCTCTTACACCCCTCAGAATGGCTAAGATCAATAAAACAAGTGATAGCTCATGCTGGCAATGATGTGGAGTAAGGGGAACACTCATCCATTGATGGCGGGAGTGCAAACTTGTACAGCCACTACAGTGTGGAAACCAGTGTGTCAGTTCTTCAGGAAGATGAGAATCCATCTGCCTCAAGCTCCAGCTATACAACTCTTGGGTTCAAACCCAAATGTCGGTTCATCCTACCACAAAGACACATGCTCAACCATGTTCATTGCTACTCTATTTATACTAGCTAGAAATTGGAAACAACCTATATGTCCAACAGAAGAATGGATAAAGAAAATGTGGTACATTTACACAATGGTACATTTACTCAGCCATTAAAAAATAAAATTCAAAGGTAAATGAATGGAACTAGAAAAAAATCATCCTGAGTGAGGAATCTCAGACCCAGAAAGAGAAATATGGTATGTATTCACTTATATGTGGATATTAGCAGCTCTTAAATCAATAATAGTCAAGCTACAATCCATAGAACTGCAGAGGTTTGGTATATAGCAAGTAACTGGGGTGGGGGCAGTTAGATCTCATGAGGAAAGGGAAATAGAGTATAGTTATGGTGGATAGAGAGTAGAATGGGAAGATCAAGTGGGGAAGGGAGGGAATGAGAGAGGGGATATGGGAAAACACAGCTAAAATTAGGGGTCATTTGAGGGGAAGTATGAAAACCTAATATAGTAGAAGCTTCCTAAAATACATACATATATGAAGGCAATCTAAATGAAATCATCAAACAACTATCTCTTGTCACCAGTGAAGCTACCAATATTGGAAATGAGTTACATCTAACTAAGTTGTTGGACAAAGGGGGTCCATCTATTAGCAATCCCCAAAGAAGCGAAGATATTGCCAAGACTATAGGTTGGTCTCCAGAAAATGACACCAAGGCCCCATTGCTAAAGCCAGTATCTATACAGCTCATTGAATATGGAGAAGTGGAGCATGAGAGACCTTGGCACACTTGGCCCTAAACAGGATTCTCCATCAAATGCCATCCCTCAGGGATCAGGGAATCCTTCAGAAGAGAATGTAAGAGCCAGAAGGGTATGGAGGACATCAAGAAACAAGGCCCTCTAAGTCAATACAATCAAAGCCCATATGAACTCATAGGGGCTGGAGCAGCCCACACAGGACCTGCATGGGTCTGCACCAGGTCCTTTACAACTATATTATGGCTCCCAGTGTAGTCTTTGTATGGAATTCCTGAGTGGATCTTGGTTTCTTGTGCCTTCCCTTGGACTCTTTTACTTCTGTTCATTATTTTGTCCAATTCCTGTATGTTAGTTTTTGTTTTATCTTACTATAAATAAATATCTTAAAATAAATAAATAGATAGTAAAACATCTCTTGGAAACATTTGGCTCTAGCTGTTGAGGTAACATGTCTTTCATGAATCTCATGGGACAGGAACCAATCTCTGGGTTGGAGGAAGAGTTGTTGCTTCACCTCAGATTGTTAAGTTAAAGAAGGTCGGAGAGGGAAGACATCACAGTACAAGCCCGAAGCTTCTCGAACAATAGAAACAGCATGGACAAGAACCACACATCACCCAACACTGATTGAAAATGATTTATTAAGGTCTAATTAGTATGCTTTTCAATTCAAATAGTACTTTTCTCCCCCATAAAAATGGCATCAATAAAAGTCCAAGTTCATTTCACTCATTTCCAGTACAAATTTTCTGCATTTTGTGTAAACTCTGAGCAAAATCTTTTTCCTGCTAACTGGCTCTCCACCTACTTTTTCTTTGGGTATCTAACAGGTACACTTCATGTGTCTTCCTTCTGTGCAGACAAAGGCCGCACTCCACCTTCCTCCTTCCCAGAATGCCACTGTCTTCAGGACTTCTTTCTCTCAAACATCCTCTTGACCTTCCCATACCTGCTTCTGGGCTGTATTTCTTCCTCATTTCTCCTTATAGCACACCAATAGAGCCATTAGTCACCCAGACAATGTACCAGGCATCTCAACACAAGCATCTATTGGGCAATTGCTGGAGACCACACAGCAGCCAGTTTCTAACATACCCCACCCAGGCTACTAAGTACAGCAATGGTGGACTCGATTCTAACATTTGATTTCTTTGTGTTTTCCTCAACTCTACATGACTGTCATGGCTGCCAAGAATGGGACCACCATTCTCTCAAAAAACGAAAGTGAAATTGCTAGTTACATTAGGGCATCTTGGTTATTGAGAAACATCTTGTTAAGAAGTCATTCTCAGTTAGAGTAACCACTGTGTTTCTTTTGTAAAAGGGTAATTTTGAGGACTTCTAGCACTGCCACTCTGCAGTTTGAAAGTAGGCTATCCCTTTTTATAAAGTGAAAATACATGAGGACATTTCACATTTTAAAAAGTAGGTCCTTCATGGGAATAGGTCCTAAGTAAATAATCAATGATACTGGCAAAGTTTTATGTACACAATATTCTTCCAATATTATAATAATGAAAATTTTAAAAACTAGTCAACAATACAGGAATGGTTAAATAAACTGAGCTGCATCCATTAAATGGAATATTATGTAGCCACTAACACTGTTTTTGTAAAAAATAAAAATTATATCATAGGAAAACCTGGCAATTCTGAAAGAAAAAGTTACAAAACATTTTACAATATCATCCCAATTATGTAAAAAAGTGTATAATATATATCTATAGGCATACATGCATGAGCTGGTAAAGATGGTTACTTCTGGGTTGTAATAGCAGTAATCTTTCTTTTTTTTATTCTTTTTCACACAGTTCTGCAATTTTCAAGTTTTCTGTAGAAAATACATATTATTTTATAACTTGGAAAACCACAGGCTTTAAAAAAAATATCTGCTGATGTCCTGGCACTAAGAATGAACATGGGTATCTTAACGATGCAGGGACAAGACTACCGCATGCGTCTTCTCTCGTGTTTTCAGAGCACATACTCTTTGGGTGATAAACTCACATTCCCAGCCTTTCATGTGTGTTTCAATATCCTTCATTAAAAGGTAAAGTGGTAAGGATATTGTTTCTTCCATGGTCTAAATGAATACTGATTTTTTTTACTAGATTCTTCTATCCCCTAGAAGATTTAAGATAGTATCCTTTTATCTTTAAAGAAAAGCATACTGTATACACACACACCACATGCCTGCTTTCTAAACAAACACAAAATCACTCTACTTTACAGTTTTCCTCCAGAGTGGAAGAAATTCTCCTATGTCAAGTTGACAGTCTTTTCAGTCGCAAACTTGCTAATAGGAATAAGCATACTTATTAAATGAGATGCATCCTCCACAGTTTTTCATTTTGCTTCATTTTGTATTTTAAAGGAGAAGCCTATATGAAGTCGTGCACTCAGTTTGGCAGATATTTTTTTCTTTTTTTCTTTTTTCTTTTTTTTGTTTTTTGCTTAGGCCAAACCACATAAAATCTTTTAAGTCTAGTTAGTGAAGGCTACATGGTCACCCCGGAGTCTGTTTCTGAATTCCACTGCAAGACATATACTTTCTATTTTCCAAAGGAGGAGATGGGGGCTGCCACATAGGTTCATCCTCAGGCTATGTCAAGTCTCTTGGGTCTAGGGACAAATACTGCTGTTGGTTAGTGTTTTAAGTACGGGAGCATCTTCCTCTCCTCTGGCTCCCCACCTTACCCTGGCAATGGGGTGTGGGGGTTCACAGCTGCACAGAGGCTGGCTGGCTTCCTTCTAAACCACAGAGTGGTCATTGCTGTGAACTCCAGCCAGAATGGTGTGGTTGAGGGAGGAGGCTGAGCGGTCAGAGCCTTCTGTGGGACCATTGGGGTTTTCATTGCGCTGGCAGCACAGGATCTGCCTGAAAGTGGCGCTCATCTCTTTGTCTCGGTAGGAGTAGATGATGGGATTCATGGCAGAATTGAACTCAGCAAGGAGGAGGAAGAACTTCTCATAGGCCAGGACGTTGCACTGCGGGCAACACACATCCAGCAGTAACAAGACCAGTCCAGGAGTCCAGCAGACAATGAAGGCACCTACGGTGACAGGGGAGGGATCAGATATTAGAAGGAGAATAAGGAATGTCATTATGAAATGTGTAACCAAAAAGTAACATGATCTCTGGTCTGTGTGCAAATCCTGAGACCAGAGAAACCAATCATGGAGACAAACAAAATGTTTGCTTCTGAAATAGAAGAAATAATCACCTTAATAATACGCTGTTGATTCAAGCCCTACTAATAAATTTGAACAGACCACAGAGTTTGATAAATAGCTGTTCCATGAGAAAAAAAAATGCATGAGGAATACATACTACTGCATAAATTCTTAAAAACTAAAATCTCATAAAGGTGTGGTTAGGGGGACACAAGATAGACATTAATGACGCATGTTTAGTGAAGATGCAGTTTCTGTTTTCTGTTTACCAGTGAACAAATCATTGCTTTGCCTTTTGGGGAACTAGGTGGCTTAAGCAAATTGAATTTTTGTCTCATTTTTCTCATCTGAAAAACAAACACGTTCTATTTACCTCCTGGGGTTGGTAGAAATTGTAAATGAATGCTAAGAAAAGAATCACCCAGTGTACATTAACAAACCCAACAACAATGTTGTTATTCCAGGCTCTGTGGCATGCCAATAGCAGCTTCCAGTGATGAATGTCTCAGCTTCTAATGCAGCAAGCAAGGTTCTTGCATACACGTTACAAATGCTAACACACCTCACCTGCACATACAGCAGGCAAACTAAAACCTCACAGTACAAACAGACACTGAGACCCAGCAAGTTTAAATACCTTGCTTAAAAGACCACTGCACTGGGAAGGGGTGAACAAGAGGCAAATCCCAGATTTTATACTCTTGGAGCCTGGCTCTGGATCCACATTCCTGAAAGCACTGCATTATCCTTCCACTGTTTGCAACTTATAAAGCTAAATATTTGTAGCCTAATTTTATGTTTCAGCTGTTCTCTAACGTAGATCCATTCTCTGCTTTCTCCCCCACAACTACTCTGCATTATTAAGATTTTCCTATAATCACAAGTGGTTTGGAAATTCAGATGGGAAAAGATATCCCATCTTATTTAGTTTCTAAGATCACTTTCCATTTGGATCTGAGGGAATGTGTCACTAAATGATTAATTATCCTGGATGACTATGTTATCTTAGCATGTGCTGGGGGTCTTCTACTGAAGGGGTGGTAGCCAGCCAGCGGGGCAGTGTGTGCCATTACAGCTCAGCTAAGAGGCCCTGTGTTGGGTAAACAGTCATCTAGTGAACAGAGGGTGAGCTGGAGGAACCCTCACGTTCATTTGAATCTTTATAGTCACAGATACACATGGCGGTGCTGGCCTCTGTGGATGTGAACTTAGGCTGGAGTACTCAGCTTGGATGAGTCTCAAGGAAGGAGTTTCATAAAAAGTAAACAAATGTGATTTAGTTTCCAAACAGCCCCAGCCTTGCGTGTGAGCTTTCTTTTCTTCCTTCCTTCCTTCCTTCCTTCCTTCCTTCCTTCCTTCCTTCCTTCCTTCTTTTTTCTTTCCTACCTTTTGCTCTCTCTTTCTTTTGCTCTCTCTCTTTTTTTTGGAACCTTTTCAGCAGGGAAATACAAATAAAGCAAGAAGAAAAGTCCCCCATAAAGCTCTTTGTTCTGTAACACTAATGTGTATTGGTTTTAAACCGCTGTTCACTTTGAAGACCATCCAAGGTGCTTCGTTTTTCTTATAAATACAATACTCTCGACTCTCCTCAGAGAGGGAAAATAATATTCCAAATATCAGCAGATAATAGCTAGACCACTATCTGAACCTCAATAAAAGTGTTAACAGAACCTTCATTCCAAGTCCTTGAATTTCTTCCTTTATTGAAAATCACTCAGAAAGCTAAACATGAAGGGAAATCAAAGGAATGCCTCTTGGGTTTCAGAAATAATGCCTTATTCATTGAGAAGCCAGGAAAGAAATTATTCTCAGGGTGGAAAATGCTTGGATGGAAAATGCATGGTCCCATTATTCATCTACTTGGAGCACACACACACACCCATGAATGGGAAAGTGATCCTAAAAGTTCCTTTTCCCTTTTCCTTTATCAAAGCTCTAATTGAGCTCACGTTTGGAGCTTGACTGGCTACAAGCACAGGCAGATATATTTTAAATAAAATAATCTCTTTTCCCTGTTGGCAACAGAAAGGAAAAGCCCTTATTCTCATGCAGTTGTTCGGTCTGCTTGACTTTGACCAGAAAAGAATCCAAATACAGTCATAGGTTGTTTATGATTTCCACCAATGCTAAAAGTCAGGGAAGGGTGGCTTTTTAGGAAAGGGATGGCTCTAGAAATGAGACTTTGCACTTCTCTTTTAGACAGAAAGAAAGAAAGAAAGAAAGAAAGAAAGAAAGAAAGAAAGAGAGAAAGAAAAAGCCAGCCAGGTGGGCGGCACACTTGGGAGGCAGAAGCAGGTGGATTTCTGTGAGTTCAAGGCCAGCCTGGTCTCCAGGACAGCCAAGGCTGCACAGAGAGACCCTGTCTTGAAAAAATCCAAAAAACCAACCAACCAACCAAACAAACAAACAAAAAAGTGCCTTTTTAGATTTGGCCACAGGAAGTGGGAAATGCCACAGCCTGACAGGAGCTAGCCTAGGTGAACACTTGGTTAAGAAACTCAGAGTCCTCTCCCTTCTCCTTCACTGGAAGGGACTGTTACAGAACTGTGATTGGGCCCAGCCACACTGGCTCAGAATCTTCAAGACTCAATCAAATGTCTTGATGCAAGGTTGACAACCTCGGAAATCCACACTGAAAACCAATCCATGGACTTCTCCCCTCCTTCTCTTTCTCAGGGGTATCTTGAACCAAACCGGCCCAAAGACAACAGTGTACCATAGGAGGGGAATGGGGGCCTGGAAAAGTCCAAGATGATTGGGCTCCTAAAACATAGTGAATGCATAGTCTGAAATCAAATTTGTTCAAGTTACAAATTTCCCTCTGAGCTTCTAAGGACAAAAGTCTCATCCATTTTCTTTATAAATAAGTAGTCACCTCTAACTTGTACAACTCCATGTGTGTATGATGGACCACATTCAGCCTGTAGAGAGTTGGATGTGCACACACATCCACATGTGTAGAGACTTGGATGAGTTGAATAAAGCAGAGAAGCAGCCGCTCTCTTCCTACGCCACCGGGCATAAGGAGCAATTTGCAGATGCTCTTCACACTGTGTGCTCCCAGTGCCACCATGAGTGTCACAGCTGAGAAAGCTAGTGCATGAAGCTCTGGGGCAGATCCTTGGCACAGAAGAACATGCAAGCATGAGATGAGCCATGGATACTTGGTATCTACAGAGCTACCCAGATTGCCAGACAGCCCCAGGACTCACCGCTAGGCATGAGAAGGAAACCAAGAAGGAAGACAGAGGGAGCATGAGGATGCAACACAGCCTCAGGTGGCCCTGCAGGTTTCCACTCTACACTTCACAAGACGGAAAATAAAAATAATATAGAATGCCAGTGGGAAGGCCACTTTCGATATTCTGTTTATTTGGCATATTTCTGGTGGCAGAGTCTCTACAGACCGAGGCACGAAACCAAGGAATGATATTCAACAATATGAAAGAGAGGAAGTACAAGTAGTTTGTGGTTACATATTGTAAAGCCAGAAGTGGCAGAAGAGAAGATGTCTAAGGCCAGGAAAACCTTGTGTATCTGGCTAAGACATTCATTTTCCAGCCTAGCACTGGTTCTCAGCCTAAGTCACATGTAATAATAATGCAGATGATGGATCTTAAGGAATAATGACCTTCATTTTAATCTCACTGACCTAAAATGTCAGATTTTTATTGAAGATACAGATTAGGGTTAGTGGAAGAAAAAAATGACCAAGGTAAGTAGAATATGTGTGTGCAAGCACATATATATATATATATGTGCATATATACACATCTTATAGATAGATAGACAGACAGACAGACAGATAATCAGCTATTTCTAGTTTCTAAAACAGGAATAAGCAGAGCCCTAATCAGGGCAGGAACACAGAGAAGGAAGTGTAGAAGACAGGGGAAGGATTTATGAGGCTGTCCTGATGGTGAGAAAGATGGAGAGCCTGGGATGACTTCTGAGTTTCCAACTTGAATGAAGCATGGGTCGTGCCTTTTGCTGAGAGAGGAAACAAGAGAAAGTGCTAGATTGGCATTTTGTTGGTGGAGGCAGGAAGCAACAGTTGACAGCCTCGGTAGCCATGTGTGTTTTGTCTGAGGTGCCTGAAGCATATCAGATGGGGATGCCTTTAAGCCACCCCTGTGAGGTTCCTGGAGAGCTGAGTCTGGGGTGCCTTGTCTCTCCCTGTACAGAAAGGTCCCCCTAACTTGTCTCAGTCACAAGGAAAATGGGGCCAAAGGCTACTGAAAACATGTCTGAGGGTTGCCTTTCCTTGGACAAGCTGCAATTCTTTCTTACACATCTATCAAAGCAATCTTGGAGGGTCAGAAGCCCACATAAATGGAAGGAGAGGTACTGGAATGTTGGTGCAAGAAGCAGGGAGGAAGGGGGCAGCTTTGGAACAACAGGTCACAACTGCAGACCACAGTCATATAACCATACTTCTCTCCAACTACACAACCAACCAGTTGCATGAATCTCACCAACTATACAACCTCCTGGCAGCAGGATGCTCACTGACTACACAACCCACCAGCTACACAATGCTCACCATATTTTTTGTTTGTTTGTTTGAATGGCGCTTTCCTAAGCAGTTGATCTTTGCATCTTTTTTTTTCATAGGGAGCACAAAAACCAAAGCTAAAGAAAAATAGGCAGCAGGGGCCAGAGAAGACTCCTAGGAAGAGAGCCCAAGATTTCAGGTGAGCAAAGCAAAAAGCATCTCTAGTCTGGGCTGACAAAATTGTGTTTTCTCAAAGAATTCAACAATCCCACAGATTTGAAACAAGTCAAGGCAAATCAATTCTACACCAGCCATGCACCCAAGTCAACCTTTCCATGGCCTGGTTCTTTTTATTTCTCTAATGAGGATTTCAGAACACCCCAC